TTAAAAAACTGAAACAAGTCTTAGCATTCAAAATTTAATATTTTTCTATCAGTAGTAGTTTTTCAGCTAGAAACTGGCTTTCTGTGTCTTCAGTTGTTCCGCTTTCCCAAAAATCATAAAGAAAGACAAAGAAATTATGGGAAATTTTGTATAACCATTATTATGCTTTGTTGGGGTTTATCCTCAATTGCGGTGGTACATCCTTAAAAACTTTTTTTATGTTTCAGGTAAGCGCATCAGCCCCAGTATTTTTTAAGGTAAAGGATTACATAATTTTCGCTGTGCTTCAAGTTGATACCACCGTAAAACAGTTCAGATAAAAACTACTCACGTTTACTGGATATTAATATAATTATATTGGAAAAAACAACACAGTCCACCACTAAAAGATACTAGAAACAAACTGAAAGGTAATCGTAATTAAATTAGTTTAAAATGCGCACGCGAAATACTGACATCACTATGGACGATTGTCTGCTAAGAAGCACTAAAAAAATTGAATTGTGGTTATAATAACCAGTTTCAATATTGAGCTAATGGTGTGTTTACGTTGCAAATTAGCATTGATGGTTTTTTTACTTATTACAATGACGATGTTTCGCCGTGTCAAAACATAGTATTATTAACTTAGTACCTATGTTTGAATTTTAGATTAATATTCATTTTCAGTTTAGTGCGGTAGATCCACATGTGGATATTTTAAAATGTTACATATTTAGGTTTTTTTGAAGAGACACGGATGCAGATTTGTGCTGAATTTTATTAAGTCCTGCATACAGCTCACGCGCAATTTATAATTAAGTGGAAAAAATCCGGTTTATTGGGTGAAATTGGGACATCAATATTTTAAGAAACGCTGTAAAAATCTAGGTTTTTTACTTCATGGTAACATTGATTTAAATATGATAATGGAAACGCATTAATGATCAGCGTCAATATAAGTATCGATCTTTTCCTTGACATAGAAAAACCGCTTGCAATTTATTAGCTGTTGCAATTTCAAAGTACTGTAATTGTTGTAATCGATATTAATTGTTTGGTAGTTAGTCGCAATTATTGAATATATTTACATATATCACCTCATATTACAGCACTATTATTTTGATTTATTTTGTTAGTATGAACTTTATCCTCAATTTCATGTATAAGTTGAACTCAAATGCAAAATAAGTTTTAAAGCTAGAACTGCTGTATATGTTGAGTATTCTGCATTGTAACCTGCTGGAGAAGTTGGAAAAATATATATTTAGTATTCAATACATCTTTTCCTTGAAAATGTTAAAGTCTAAATACATACATGTATGGCTTTTATTTATATCAAAAGTTAATAGTGCGAATCTGTGTCAATGTCGCACGGTTGAAATTGCCTGTAAGGCCATGGCAGGATTACATATTTACAACAGAATACGAAATTTTTTTATTGAATTTTTAAGTATTTGGTATGATAAACTTTACCCAAACAGTTCATGGTTGCCACTTGATTTTTATAATTTTGCCTCTCATTTTCGTTTACGGTTTGTTCTTTTAGAAAATTATTTAATGGCAGCAACTTAATTTAATATGATTCTGGTCGCTTATGGAAATCAGTAAGATATAAGTAGAATATTAAAACTAAAAATCAAACCTAAACTTTTATCAAAAACACGTAGATACTATTTGAGCGAAATATATTATAATTGTGGGGAAAGTGTGTTGGATTTATGACTTATAGACGATTTCTCGATATACCTACTCAGTAAATGATCATACAATCAGATCAGACTAGATTGTAAGCGAATTTTCAGCTTACTCTCAAGTGAATCTGAGGGAACTTTTGTTCCGAAATATTGAGATTTAATTGAAGTCTAACGCTGCGTTTTCTGTGTCACATGATTAAAATCTTAATAAATTAATGAGTTTGACATTGCTTTTTCATAAACCATGTTTGCTCCAGATTTGGGAAGAATTTGAGTTGAAAATATAAATTTTTTTAATAGTCATGTTGTAGTGGATCGAATTTAGCGCTATAAATTTACAGTTGACTGACGATACAAGCAAGTTCAGTAATCGACATACGCAAGATAAAAAAATTGCATTTTTGCATGTTTATTTTGAAATCGCAAATTGTGAATTTTGGAAGCACGCCACTAGATCTTTCTTCACCTAAAATAAGACGAAAATGTTTGTGGTATGTCCTCTGCATAAAACAACTGATATACATGTCTAAAAATGATTAAAGAATTTGATTTTTTCTATATCTATATAGCAATAATTATAAAATAAATATAATAAACTTTTAAGGGCGTTATAGAACAACAAAATAATCATTTTTTTTGTTTATTTAACTTTGGCCACCCCTCTAGTACACGTAAATTTAAATTTGCACAAAAATGTTTAAAGCACAAAGTGTAAGTTTCAAAGTCTAGTTTATTGTAAGATAATATCTATTGACACGCTGTGTGTCCAATTTAAATAGCAGATCAAACTAAGATCTTCTAAAACATGAAGCCCAATTTTTAAGTAATGTTCGAGCTCTACGTCCAATTACACGTCTATTCCATGTAAAAATATAAAATGTTTATTTGTTTTTGAGTTAGTCAATAGGATTGATTGAACTTTGGCCCCGTCTTTTTATCGTTAATTGTATGTTTAAGCTAAGATATCAAATTCAAAAGTTGTAGATATTAAAGAATAGTCTATTTTAAAATAATATTTTCTGATACAGGGTGTCTCTGATTTAAGTGATCAACTGCTTTATGTGTTCCGCGGTCTCTGCTTTAAACCTAAACTTGCGTTTGTTTTTAACACGAAGATCCATTTCTTATTTCATATTCGAACTCTCCGTTAAACTCTCTGTATATTTGATATCAATGCTCCCTGTCGACATTCAATTGCTTTTGAGCTAATAATCATTATGGTAATTTTTAATTTCGACAAAAAAAACATAATCTTAATTCATACAGGGTGCCAGAAACTAAAATTGAGGATTTTAAGGAGGTGCCCAGAATTTTGCAAAACAAAAAAATATATATGTATTCATATAAAAAGTTGTGATATCTATAAAAAGGGCGTGTAGAAAGGCTATATAGAATTTCAAACTGTTATACTATGTAATTATTATTATAAGAATTTACATACTTTCCGCATGATTCAAATTAAATGTTCTTTCCGAAATACAAGCAACTTACTCTTTGGGATCTAAAATTTAATCCGGATCATGCTGCTCTCTTAGAGAAAGCCAAATCCACCCAACATATCAATGGTTGTTGATTTGATCGATAAACGTTGTTCGTCTCCCTAAATAAACTCTATGTTTTTTTCTGAAGTCAATAACAAATTTGTTAACAGCGCCTCTAAGTGCAAAAATTCTGCCATTTCTTTACATTTCTTCAATTCTGCAATCTCTGCAAGGGCAGAGGACTATATCCCAATATGTCACATATAAAAGGTGTCTCTGAATTAGCGGTCAATTTTTCTGGTTTGGTGCTCAAAAATAATGTGCGAAACAACCGGAAAAATAGTAAAACAAGTTTCTAGAAATGTTTTAACAGTCTCCTGTTATTGAGATACAGGCCCTTAAAAAAACACCGTGAAAATAGTTTTTCTTAGCTGGCTTTGGAAATAATTATTCTGATTAATTTTCCTGACTGCGTGTACTTGTTATGATATTCCTATCTTTCCTGGGTCTCAGTCAAAGTGTGAAGTAAAAATTTTGAAACATCGTTTATTTCATTACGTTTCGGCGAGACAACAGCGCCACCATCAGATTTAAAATTTACACAAACTCATGAATGGTAAAAATCAACGTCCTTTTAGGTATTTGCCTTCTTGAAAACCTTGAGAGAAACTCAAGATGTTCTCAAAATACAGAAAATAATGTTCTTGATTAGGTGACAAATTTAACTGCACCAAAGTTACTCTTGTAGTGGATACTTATGGATAAAATAAATAGTTTCTGAGAAAAAAAATGGTAGTTATGGTGGGTTGAATTTATGTCGCTTTGCATTTGAGCTTCTTCTTTGCTTTTCTAAGAAATCAAAATTGGTAATGATAGATTGTTGTGTGGTGCAGAAGGTCCTAACATTGAATTGACGAAATTTATTCTTTTATTATTGGTATAATTTTATTTTTAAAAAATAATTTGTGTTTGTGTAGAAATAAAAGTGATACATATTAACATGCACAAACACTTGTGAAGCTATTTTTCTATCCACATATTCTGGGGCAGTCTTTATATCCTCATATATTACTGAAACCTTCCACATCGCAAATGAAATTAGTCCACTTAAGACAATATATCATTATATAAAACATACAACAAATGATAATGTCATACAAAATTAAGCAGTCAAGAACATTTATCATGAAGTCGCCGCTCAAAAATAAATATATTTATTAATTGAAAAAACCGCTTAACGATTTAAGCGAAGCATAGGCTGGTGGAGGCATATTTGGAGCCTTAATTAGATCACCTCTGGAACTGAGTTCCAGGACCGCTTGTTTACGTCGAATATAATATTTGGAATTCACTCTGAGACTGCCATTGTTGGCAGAAGCCGTAAAATTTTTTCCGCAGGATTTTCGGTTTCTGTTTGCGGTAGAAACTAATTACCCTGCTGGAGGTCTTGTTAATGATTAATTTCCATTAAAAATTTCTTATTATATCGGCACGTACCCAGTATGCTCATTATTACAACAACCTTTAATATAAATAATCAAATTAATATTGAAACTAAGTTACATCTTAATGGCTACCTTTGTTTCAAGGTATACAGGGTGAAGCAACGAAAACAAATAGTATCCGGTTGAAAAGGGTTTGCCATTAACAAATTTAAATAAAAATGTAACCAGAATTGACGTGTGCAAGCATTTTTTTGGCCCATTCCATATTATACACGGTGTCCCGGAAAAATATTTATAATCTCTGAAGAAAATACCGTGGATTTTCTTTCTTGAAGACAATTTTCTGTCAGCTATACGTTTTCAGCTATACAGATTCGTCCTAACTTTGCAACTGGATAAATTCTGATTGTTTCTTTCGATGCGGTTTCTGTTGGGAGCGTTATCTAGTACCATTTGGGTTCTGTTACTCCATGTTGTGGTACAAATTAAGCAACTCAGATAAATTTTCTACAGGGTGGCAATTGGCAAAATGCAAATTTGTGGAAAGTTTGGCATGCTCCTAGTTGGAAAAAAAAGTGTTCTTGGATTTCAACACCAAAAGCTTCAATGTAAACCAAATAGCTCGAAACGAGTTTTGGTTTTTTTGGCCATCTCTTCTATTTACAGGGTGGTCTTAAAAAACAACTTTTTGGTCCTGCAGCGATAACTTTTCTGCTCTTGATCCGATTTTCACTATCTGGAGCTCATCTTGAAGGATAAACTTTATAGATTACCCAAATCTGAATTGCCTCAAAATTTGTAATTCTGAAAATTTGTCAACTAAGTGAAGTTAGTTACTT